AGAAAAACACTTTCCAGTGGAACAATAGTCATCTTTGAGAGGTTGCTAATAAGAAAGTATTACAAGTATATTTTGCCCTCCAACCATATTTTGTCTGCATACATTTTTGCATCCACAAAGAAGGAAACATATAAACAGACAAGCAGAACAGAGTGCTTCTTCACCAATAACTTCATACTTATTTTTATCTTGGCATTAGGATGCTGCCTTGCTTTATATTACAATATTGTCTCTGCAGGGGAAGAAATGAAGTCAAATTCATCCTGTGGCTTCAGAAAGTGTTATTTGCAGTGTCCTAATAAATCAGTAAAACTCTTTATAAGAAAATACCATAGTGTCATGGCTTTGACAGGGATAGAGTTAATTTTCTTTCTAGAGGTTCGTATGATGCCTGTTCGGATCTTTAGTGTTACTACAACAATGTTGTTAGTTGTTGCAGAGCAGTGACTACACAGAGACAAGGACTTTTCAGCTTCTCTTGCTGCCCAGCCAATGAGGAGGCTGGGGGTACACAAGGTGCTGGGAAGGGACAGCCAGGGCAGCTGACCCAGACTGTCCAAAGACATATTCCATACCATGGGGCACCATGCTCAGCAATAACAGCTGGGGTAAAGAAGGAGGAAAACGGGGACATTGGGAGTGATGGCATTTCTCTTCCCAATAAATGTTGCATGTGATGAGCTCTGCTTTGCTGGAAGTGGTTGAACACCTGCCTGCCATCGGGAAGCAGTGAATAGATTCCTTGTCTTGCTTTCCTTTCACACATGAATTTTGCTTTACCTAGTAAACTGCCTTTATCTCAACACATGAGTTGTACCTTTGCCTTTCCAGTTCTCTCCCCATTTCCACCTGGGGAAAGTAAGGGAGCAGCTGGGTAGTGTTAAGCTGCCTGCTGGGGCTAAACTACAACAAATAGATATGTAAGAAACACACTGGTCATACAACTGAGATTGGACCCTGTCTGTGCAAACTCAAAGGATAGACTAAAAAAAAGCAGGGAGCAGTGCAGAAATGGCACGGCTACACATCTACCAGTGCATTTGAAAAACACCTCTGGCTTTTTCCTGACTGCACCCTGGAGTTTCCTGGAGACAGCCAAACTCTCAAAACCACTCCAGCAGAGGACTGTTTGTTTAGGAGCACTGGGAGAAATGGCAAGCTAGGAAGTGGCAACAAGAATCAGTCTCACACATTGGCCAGTGTATTGCCCAACATGCAGCATGTGTCCTGTTCATAGAATTTTCCCTGAAATATGTTTGTGACTGTGTTGCATGAGGACTGAAGCTCACTGAGCTTCAATAAATATTGATATAAGGATGACAAACTCAGTTTATCAGCAAAATGGAGTCAGTGTAAGCATGTTGTGAGCTAATGTATAGTTTAGGATTACAACATATAGGAGTCACTAATTCACCCAGTAGAGGTATGGCTGCCCTACTGCAAGTACTTGGTGATTGTGTTGTCCATGGCCCATGGCTGAGTGCAGTTCCACTTGTAAAGGTAATGCTGTAAATGGCTGTTATATTAGAATGGTGGGTCACATATTGTCTCTCTACAATATTGTATTGCTGCTTCAGTCTCTAACACAGGCTCTTTGGAACCTTGGGATCAAGACTAGAACTGTGCAAGGTGCACTACAAACAAGCAAACAATACCAACCACATAACCAAACAACAAACACACATACACAATTTTGAGCTATCCCAAAGCAATAAAAGAAAGATTAAGTTCCCCTAACAGAAATGCAATAGCCTCATTCAGCTTGCACCCATCTGCAGGTGGAGTGTTCCTCCCAGTGCAGGACACAGTATGCTGTAAATAGCATTTTGACCTGAAGAAAGGAAGTCAGCTTTCACTGACATTTGTTTACTCCTCACATTTTGCTTTTCCTTTCAAATCAAGGAGACTGGGATGATAGCAGGCTGTATTCTCTGACAGACACCTACGAATGCATTTGTTGGGAGCTGTTGGTACCTTTCCCAGTCAGAGTTTACAAGCCTGAAAAAAGAATCAAGATGAACCTTCCAATATAATGCAATCTACCAGCACAGCATATCTTGAAACCTACGAGTAACATCACAGACCTCATAAAGAGATCTTGCCAAGGGCCACAAGGAGCAGGAGGATTTTCAGAGGTGTTTCTGAACTGAAGGCTGTCACTGGTGCAGACACTGGGCACACAGCTGGTGCATCCTGTCCTGTCAGCAACTGCTGGCATACAGAATATGAGCAGGCAGCTGTGCTACATTGCCTTGGGACTACTACCCAGCCTTGCAGTTAAAGGTTCCTGGCTCCCCACAGGGGAGCTCCCTGTGCGGAGGTGCTAGCACTGAAGCATGGGGTGTTCCAGACCAAAGGGCTGCATAGCAGTACAGGACTCTTTTCCCCAAGGAAAGAGCATGCTGTCTGAACAGGCTGCCTGCAAATCTTCCCTGCATTTTTAGTACAGAATCCTGCACTGACTGGGCTTGTCATGCAGGAAGTGTCAAGGCTGACAAAGCAGACATTTGGCTATGCGGTGTTATGCATTTGTTCCAGCACAGGGATATGCCGCTCTTTGAGCTGAGAGGTGCGACTATCTGATCTAAAATCCCTTATAGCTTTTCCCACCTCATGAAGTCCTCCATCCTGATACCTCCTGAACACATCCCTTGCTCCTTCTCTCAGTTAACAGCCATTACAAGTTCAGGATAGAATTAAATAGTCTCTGCACTGGCAAAATGGCCAATCTCAGACTTGCATATGAAATGGCAGCAAAACTAGTCTAGAAAGTGATAAAATTTGAATTTTCCCTTTCCTCTCCTCCATGTGGTGTGGTATCTTGCCATCTTTCATGGTTTATATTAAGAGCACAGCTCTCTGTAGCCAAGTACCTACACGCAGTTGAAATTTAAAAAAAGTCCATCAAACACATTATGACCCTTGCCTCATGACCAAAGGCAATCAATGTATAAAAGAGAGGTTTTTCCTCACTTGGTATAATATGTATTTCTTAGCACCTCAATACCTGGGAAGTTGCTGTGCCAAAGAAGGTACAAAATCACCCAGTGTTATTTTCCTAAGATATGCAATAGCGAGGCTCTACTGCTGTATCACTTTGATTGACAGAAGTCATCATACACATGCAAAGGATATTGTGTTAAGTCGCGATGGCTATAGCTTGGACTATACATATAGAGACACTTGTCTCAGAGGTCCAAAGTGATAGAGTGAGTAGCAACAACTACAAGCTGCAACCTGGGAAATTCCAATAAAAAGCAAAGAAATGTGTTTCTTTGTCATGAGGGTGGTAAAAGAGGAACATAGACCCAGACAGTTTGTGGCATCTCTGTCCTTGGAGGTTCTCAACACTTGACTGGATGAGGTCTCATAGAACTTTGTGAAAGTATCTGTGCTTTCAATGGAGAACTTGACAGGACAGCCTCCAGAGGTCCTTTCCACTGTAAAGCACTAGAACTCTACTATATTTACATATTTTCAACATAGATTGCTCATACACTGTCCTCACATTCACAGGTATTCCAAGAGAGTGTTGTATAGCCCAAGCCCTGACACAAGGAGCCCCACATCGCTGCTTATCCACCATGTCGCTATGTCATGTCACTTCCATCTTCCTTGAAGAGCATTTATATGCCTGGTATTCAAAGCTACAGCTACACAGGAAAAGAAAGGGGCCATCCTAAAGTATAGCTAATTCCACTGAAAGACTTGGAATTCAGAAGACAAATTTAAAAATAAATAAATAAATAAATAAAAACAACAGAACACCCTACTCAAAGCATTGGCACTTGGGGTTGTCACAGCAGTTGTTACAATATGCACTAACCCAGATATCTTCATGAAGCACATAATTGGGTATTTTTATTCTCTATATACATACTAAAATATATAGATAGATATATGCATATAATCTATATTGAGCTATATGGATACTGTATATTGAAAAGAAGGCAAGTATGGATTTTGATTGAAACATACATGGCAATATCACATTAGAGCAGGACAATGGGCTGCTAACAGTCTGTGGTAGCTGACAAACTGAGTTGTTTCCAGTTAAGCTTTGTTACCCCACCTACTACCAGTGATGAACTAAACTGTCTATTAAGAGTTTTCTTATGCCCATGAACTGGGGGATAGTGTATACCCTGCAGCATTACGTTTTAAAACCTTTTGAAAACATGAAACATTGCTATGTGTAATATGAATACATAAGGATATTCTTATTACATAAATAGAAAACCTAACTGTCACCCAGCTAAGCAATATTTTCTTTCCAAAATATTATTTTCTTCCTCTGGGAAATTCTATTTGCAATAAATAAGCACCTTTGCACAGGTTTTAATGGGTTGCTTAAAAACAAATAAAAACAAACAAACAAGAAAACCCACACACAAATCCTGAGAGAAAAGCCATGAGAAGAATTAAACATTTGTGCTGTCAAAGCATTAAAAACAAAAATACAAAATGTTTTATATTTAAATTAACTTTAATAAGAAGTACAAAAAGATAATGTTAAGCAATATTTTGCATGTGATTAATAAATATTCTTCAATAGCAAGCAAAGTGACACATTCAAACATAAATCCAGTTACTTCTTTTACATTTTAGAAAAGTAACAACTTTTTTCAGTTAAAACAAGGTCACAAATTACAGAATATTGTCATCCTCTTTAATTATTTGTAACTATGAAACCTACTAAATAAGTGAACTGTCACCCAGAAGATTTTATGTGATGTTGATGTTCAAGGTTAAGAATACTTACATTTATCATGCAGTTTCTTAATGTGCATATTTGATTGGTGTTTAATTTTCTTTATAATTATTGGTTCCATTCTTTTCTTCCTTTTGCCATATTTCTTCTTAATATAGTGTAAGCATGTATTTTCAAACTCCCATACATTTTCACATCTAAGAAAGTAACTGAAATAAATTTACCATTCAATGCATAAATGTTTTCTGACTGCAATCCAGCTGAGAAATTGCTAATGTCTGAATCAGACTTCACATTATTTTTACTTTTTATTTTAATCAAGTATAACAAGATTTAGTGTAATCACTTCCATTAAAATTAAAGTGCCTTCAAATTTTTCCTAACAAAGTGACTATTCTGGAAGGTGAAAGGGTGCTGTTTAGGAACTAATTTTTTTTTTTAACAGTTTATAGATACAGTGCATATTGTACATGTGTATTCTAATAGATGTAAAGAACTACGTTGCATTCCGTGCTAATGCTAAGCTACGCTAGCTTATAAACTGATAAATTCAGCCAAGATGAACATCTATTAAATAATATCAAAAGCAGCTGTTCAAAGCATCATCTCATTCCATTCTCTATTTGCATCCATCCCCAACAGCATAGATAGATGGATGAAGTACTGGAAAACAAAACAACACTTCAACTTGTTGAAGCTCACCTCTTTGAATATCAGATGAATGAAACCACTCAGTGCAATCATTAAACACCTTGAATGCATAAATATGTGCTCCAGGCCACTTAATCAAGTGAAGAATTCAAAATGTTGTATAAGGAATGTAAGTTTGAAAGCAAAATATAACTTCTAAATCATCCAACAATAAAAATATATTCATATATATTTATGTAGACACCAACACTAGAAGAAGATTATACATCATCTTGCATATTTTAAAACATCCTCCAAATTACTTTTTGTGAGTGTTATCACCCACTCCTAACTCACAGCACTTTCACAATATTCTTAAAAGGCATTAATATATACCAGGACTAAGACATGAAGTCTCATATTTCAGTATGAGTGTTTCTTCTTTTAAGGGTTTTTCTCTTGGGTTAAAAAACTAAGCACCTCTATCCAAAGGAGAGTCCAGGTGTACTGCCCTTCTGGAAAAAACTTAATGACTTCAGTGATATAGTGGAATATCCTTAGGATCCCAAACATTTTTCCTTTAAATTCAGTGCAAGTTTCACCCCAATCTCAGTCAAAGAGGTCAGACCCTCAAAGCTTATTCTCTTCCAGTAAGATCTAATCACAGACTTAAAACATGTGCACAAGGATTCACCTAGAAAGATCTAAATCCAGAAGAAAGAAAATTAAATGAAGTAGAGGAAAACAAATTTTTAATATAATTAACATATGTCATTCATTGAAACAAAATTTTAAGCTTTTAGCTTTCACTGCTGAAGTTCTAAAGTGATGAAGCAACTTGTGGATCCTCAGAAGGCTGGAATTAACATTCGGATTCATAATAGCAGAATTAAACATTCTGGTTGGTAGGAAGTTTGGGTTATCTACAGAAAAGAAGCAGCAGAAGTTCCCCTTGACTAGAAAAGAACTACAAAACAAGGTAATGTTAAAGGGATACTTAAAGCTATACTGCAAATTGACAGTCTTCTAGCAGAAGATACACTGTGATTGGGAAGAAGTGAAAGGAATCCAAAAACTCTTCTTTCTAAAGAACTACTCAATTTTTTGGAGGCTGGACTGTGACATGACTTTAATTTAATTTATTTTAATGTTTCAAAGTCAAATTATACCATACTCAGAGATTCTATTTAGATTTGTTTAAACACTTGCATATTTATCATGTTCTGTTGTTGTTTTGCTTTTATTATTGTTTTTGTTTTAGTGAAGCTATTTAACTTTCTTGACTCATTTTTGAATGTTTTCTTACTCTGTTTCAAAACTCATTGCATTACTTATCTAGACTTTAGCAGTGCATGTTTGCACATAATGGGCCATAGACTGATGATCTCTTCGTATCCATGCTGAAATTCACTTTCATGCAATTTTTTTTAGGAATGGAAATATTCAGAAGCATAGTCTTTTATCTATTTTGTAAAAGGCCAAAGCAAAAACTTGTGCACCACTAAGCTTTCAGAATAGGAATTAGAGGTATGGAGGATGGATGATGACTATGTGCATAACTAAAAATGACAGCTCTTAAGAAAACAAAACCTGGAAATAAAAAATTTCTTCTCTATTCCTGAAGTTTCTTTCCTCCTTCTGCCTTAGACAGCAGAAATGACACAAAGCATACAACATTTTGTATGGTTTTCATAAAGCTGTCAGTAGAAGCTTCTCGCTTTCAAAGGCAAAATCATTTCCCTCAAATTCAGTGGAATTATACAAGAAGTATTCCGATTTCACATGCTCTAAAAGATACTTTACCACAACTCCCATAATGAAAGCTCAGAACTGAACCCAAAACAAAAATACACATTACCTCCTTCAATGGCTTCTTCATCAATAATTCTGCAATCCACAGGCACAGTTACACAGCCATTTTATTCTCTTTACCCCTTGTCTCCCCAGTATATTTATAAGGTCATTTAGTAATGTTCCTGTTTGGTGTCTAATGAAACTCTTTTATGCTCTCCTGTAACAATACAGGCAGACTTAATTTAGCATAACTATAGTAGTATCAGTAGTGTCCCAAGCTAAAGCTTCTATCTACCATAATATTTTTTAAGATGCTCAGTAATGCAGCAGTTATTATTTGATTTACCCACATACAGAAAATTAAGATAATTTCATTGCCTACAACATAATCAAAAATTTTGGAAACCCCTGTTTTACAAGCAATCTCTTAAGAAGTCTTCAGCAGACAACCCTGGCTAATAAACCCTGCTGATTTCTATATTCTTCCCATGCTGTTTTATAAATTACTTTTAAATTACTGACCACATGGATCCAGAATTACATGTCCCAGTACTACATTGGAAACCTATTTCATTAACTTTGTTCTGAATTAGGATAACTTCAATCCATGTTTACTACAGTGTTGTATCATTGCATTTATTCTATTTGCTTCTTAATTTACATAGAATGTGACATGACACCCTGAAAGAATAGAAAAAATAAATTAACTATCTTGTCAACCAAAAATTTCACAGGTAGATTCCATGTGCAAATCTTTAATAGTGAGATAACTTGCATTTGTTCGTTCATGCTCTCTCTTTGTTTTGTGTTTAATATCAGCAAGTCTTACTCAAAATAAAAGAAATTTTTGTTTGGCACATACATTTCTGAGACAAGCATTAAAATCCCAGACAGAGTAGCTATACTGCTAAACAGAAAGAAGGCCTAACTACAGTATTTTAGTGTTCCTTGCATGATGCTTGTGTTCACTTTAATGTTTACATTCAAATTCACTTATCCAGTTGTTAGTCTTAAAAATATGCAATTTATGTGTAGCCAATTTATTTATTTTAGATGTTTTGGTAGTGAATGAGTGAAGCAGACTTCTAACTCCTACAGGAGTTTGCTTTAATTCAGACCAACTGAACTAAATTTAAAAGTAAACCTTTTCTGTAGTGTATAGACTCTAAAACCTTCCTGATGCTCACAGGAACTGAATGGAAATACTTACATGTAACATGATTAACTTTTACAGAGTGAATTTATAGCAATAAATAATAGTATAATAGGCATAATAGTGTGCTTATTTTTCTATATTAGTGCGTGAAAAATATATCTTTAGCATGTGATAAGCACCCATTCTTTTGCTCGATTGTCTCTATGCATAACACAAGCATAGAGAAAATGGTCAGTGACCAAAAAAATAATTGCACCCAATAAAAGTAGTAGCAGCAGAGCTGACTCACATGAAACAGCATCAGGCTTCTTGTGCAAACTGAAGATAATATGCTTTTTGCATGCAGCTGAAAATTACACAGATGTTATCTACCAGAGAAAACTTCCTGGAGAATAAGACTTGTACAGTTAAAAAAAATTCAGGGTACCCATTCTTAGATAAGGATGTAAAATCTTTCCTTATTGTTATCTAACATGCCTCCAAGAACACTCATGTTTGTAGTGGGGTAGTTTGTAGTTTGTGCAGTCATGTTTCTGACTACACAGTGTCATCTGTGGAGTAATGCACGACATTATTTGAACACTGTGAAGTGTTGGGAGTATCTGGGATGTGGCCAAGGGTGAAACACAAACCTCTCTTTCTCATCCCCGAGTTCAATGTGATTCAGAGTTCCTAAATCTTGCTGATGTGAACTGAAGGTTAAGAACTCTCACTAGGTCACAGACCTCAGCTACAGAAAACATAATCAAGCTACTCAAGTCCAAGAGCAGTTAAGCATGGGCTTCCATTAAACTATACAGTCAGAGCCCTTTGCCAAAAACAGAGTTAAAAGTGAAGGGATTTTTCTACAGTTCTAATATTTACAATTATTTGTACATATGTACATATTTATATATTTATTCATACCTGGACAATGTGACAATAAAGGGGAAATTTAAAATTTACAAAAGAAACATTTTTAAAATGTATAATTATATCATGAAAAGAACCTTTTTTTTTTTTTTATTGCTTGCCTTCCAGCCTTATGCTCATAATCACACTATTGCACACATTTCCATATTACATGGAAGATCTACATTTATATATAAATATATATGAAAATAAGGATATTTTTATTTTAATGTTCTAAATAAAGTGCTCAGTTTTTTAACTACTGTTGATGAGAAAGGTTTAATCTGAGAGTTTAATTAGAGGGACTTAAAGGGATACACAACTTGTCCATGCTTCTCCCTTTATTTTGCTGACTTATTTTGTTGATGTCAACTCTGTCTTAACTATTAATTCTGTTCTTAAAATGCATTTGTGACCTTGGTATCTATACTGTCACACAAAGTACAAAACAGAATCACATTAAAAGCAAAGAAAATGCAAGAAAATAAAGCAGCAAAAGAAAGCAGTTTCTCTTTGTTGATTTTAGCACATTTCCATGTCTTAAGATACTCTTTTATTTGATTTTAGAAATATTTGTACAACTCTGAACATACCTATTTTATGCACTATACTCAAATACTGTACAAAACTGCAATAAATGACACTATACGACTACATATGTCTCTACTAGAAGACATCATCATAAAGGTGTATCTTTTTTTAAAGGTCAACTAATAACTGCTAATGTATGTGTGAATCAAAATATTTTTGATTGGCCACATATACTAAAATCTAAATACAGTACACAGTTATTACTTATGTCATCATTTACCAGGCCTTTAGGGGCATAAAGAATGTTTGCAAAGGCTTAGAAGAAAAAAAAAATAAATTTGCTGATCAGTATTAAATGTTCATATAAAATTGCAAATGGCAGCTCCAATTTTGTCATAATCATATATACGAAATACAATTGATACCTACTGATGATGCATAACCTTTTATTAAAAAAATAACATTCAAATCTTAGCAAAACCATTTCTAGTATACAAAGTTGTTGGAAATTTATGTCAGCGAAATGTAAAGTTGCAATTTACAAAAGCAGCAGTAAATTTTATTCATATGGACAATTTCCTGAACTTAAATAATGAATTCTTATTTCCTTTGAAAAATAAGCTTTCTGGGACAAATACAGGTAAATCTTTCAATGGCAGGTTTTAGCATATCACTAAGCAAGGAAAAGAATATATTACTGATAAACTTAATCCCCCCAAAATTGAGTGCTTTTATGAACCGGACAATAATATAATTAAGAACAAAATAAAGAAGCAGAAAAATCCAACTTTGCTGAACCAGACAACCTGGTTTAGCAACACCACATAAAGAAAGCAGTGAAAAGAATATGAGTGGAAGTTGCCTGATATTAGAAATTTGATTAACACCTACTTTTCCCTGAAATCAATTGGAATAGTTTATTAACAACTTCAAAGAGGACAGAAGTAAGAAACTTGTGGCTTTTGACATATAGTAGCCTTTACTACCTCTTCAGCCTAACTAGTGTCCAGAATGGTTGTGAACAATAGAACTGTACGACCTCCGTACTCTTATGTACATGGGTACTGCTATTGTATGAAACAATTACACCCTTTTTAAAAAAAATCACTTTTTTTAAATGACAGTTTCTTTCATTAAAGTAGGATTAGTTACTTTATAGAAAAATATCTTAACTTTAAATTAAAAAAATACTGTTCCTAAATAATTAAGTAGGATCATATCTTCATTTCATTGTATGGAGAGAATATAATTCTGTATATTTGAATCCTAGTTTAACAGAACTCCCCTGGGTATAACTTTTAAAGAGCTTGCTATATTTGCCATGGGTGGTATCTGTTTACAGACCCATGAATTAACACTGTGTCCCTCCTTTGGAGATACACAGATAAGACATCTATATACACTCTGTACATAATGGTTCACAGATTAGCAGTTATTAGTCGTACTGTACATAGCGAACAACCTATCTGATTAGAATGATGTTTTAAGTCCTCAGTGCAATTCAGCTTTTAGGTTGATGGTGCAAAGCCAAGTAAGACAGGCTCCCTGTTTAAATATGTAGCCCAATACACTAAATTAAAAGTACCAAATAAGACAGGAAACACTATTCTAGACATTCTGTCAATTTTGCTAACACTGTTGAATGTCTTCTTCGCTTCCTGTGGCTTCGCTTCTGGTTTTGCCTTGTTGGGTTCTGCAGTTGTAGCACTCTTGGAGATGGTCGGTAGCACTGAGTCCTTGGTAATATTTGGAGCATAGTTGGCAACAGCCACTGCATAGGCATTGTTTTTCTTAATGACAGATGCTTTTTCTTTTTTCTATTGGAGACAGCATGAAGTTAAGTATTTAATGTGTATTTGTTGTATCAGACTTAATAAAACAACATTTCAAATGTAAAATAAATTAGTATGTTAAAATACGTGCCAGGAATACCATAATGATCAATTCAAATATGAAGAAACACACTTGCAGTTTATCCAAAAAGTAGGTATAGGTAACATAAGAATATTCTAAAAACATGGACACTGTCCATCAAAAACCCTGCTGAAGTTATATGAGTAAAGGCCTGTTACTGTAATTGTAGGAATAAATGGAAAACTATCAGTCTTGCTCTGTTTTGTATCTAACTTCTTACAACAGAATTACAAGATCTTTAAAGTGTTCTCAGTTAAGAGGACTAGAATGATCATTCTTCTGATTTAAAACATCATGTATTTTCTAGTAATAGCCAATTGTATCAAAACAGTGTATTAGAGCTGATTGGAAATCAGGATGTTTCTTTAGGACTTACCTTATCATTCACTACACTTTTTCCATCCCACGCCCATCCTCGTTTTGTGAAGTAATTTACAGTTGCAAATTCAATTAATGCAGAGAATACAAATGCATAGCAAACAGCGATAAACCAATCCATAGCTGTTGCATATGCTACTTTGGGGAGTGAATTCCGAGCACTGATGCTCAGTGTTGTCATTGTCAACACAGTTGTTACTCCTGTAGAGGGATAAAAAACAGAACATCAACAATTTTACTTGGATTTTGAATGTTAACAAAATATAAAGCAGAAATTATGATGGTATGTTTTTGAAACAAAATGGAAAAAATTCCCTGTCTAAGGTGGTGACGTATTAAAGGCTGCATCTGGAGTTTCCTTTCAAGTATTTTAATTCAACTTCATTGTCTAAAAGTCACTTTTTTAACCATCTGAAGATTTTATTTATTTAAAGATCTTTTTATTTAGAGATAAACACTCTTTTACTCTTTATTTATTTATTGGCTATCAGGATAGGTAACGGACAAAATTAACAATTCTTTAATGAAATGTTGTCTTTCTGTTGTCTTTCTGTTGCATCCTAACCATACAGGTATAGACTCTTACTTAAGAAAGGTTGAAGACAGCTGCCTACCACACATCTTTGGTGGTTGGCTTCTAGTTTCACTGCAGTGGCTACAGGTCTTACATTTTTCCTGACAGTATCACCCAACTTGACCAATTTTTATTAGAAATAATGATTTCTTTTTCTCTCTTTTTTTTTTTTTTCTTCTGCCAGTAGCTTTCTCACTAACCATCCAGCGACATAATTGAAAACGTAAGCAGGTTTACTTTTCATTCAGGTAACATGGATTTTTCTCTAGATCATTATATTGATTTGAAATGGTCAGATTATGTAATATATACATCAAATTTATATGAAATGTCAGAAAATAAGACTTGATAATCCAAGAAGACTGTTCTTCACTGTGGCAGTTATTAAAGCATTTTACAGTGGTTAATGAAAACTGAGTAAGAAACCAGAAATTATAAAACAAAACAAAACAAAACAAAACAAAACAAAACAAAACAAAACAAAAAAGGAAGGAAGAAAGAATATTTTTCTGAATCAGTTTTAGCAAGTAGAAACCCACAGCTAGACATGCAATCTCCATTCCTTAAGCAAATCAGTTCTTACAGCCCAGGCTCAATCACACTTAAACAAACTAAATTATTCCTTTTGTGTCACCCGTGATATGTCTCCAGAATGAAAAGCAACACAAAGTGATATACATAGATCAGCAAACCTACATTCCATTGACAAGCAAAGGAGCTTCTATGGCAGAAATATTAGTAACAGCAGATCATAGCTTCAGTGAATACAAACTCATAAAATTGTTGTAACAGGATTCCCAAGACAGATAAAAGTTGCTCTCTCTAAATCAGATCCTCCACCATTAGCAATTAGCAATCTATTAACTAGGTTCTGCAGAATCAACCTAGCTAGTTTTTTTGCTTGTTTGTTTGTTTCATTTTTAACGATTGTGGAAAATGGAAAAGAACTGGCAATTACACCTACTCAGTCCTCTTCAGATTTGGCAATTTCCATTCCTTCTGTAAAGAATCATCCTGTGGTACACAGGATGACAGAGCAAACCTAAGTGGACTCAGCTTCAGTGTTGAAATGTTGAAATGTTTCCAAAGGCCATGCTTCCAAATGGAAAACAAGACACAGAAGCATCCTACTGATTTATGCAGTGTCCACACACCTAAGCAAACATTAATTGCTATTTTTCAGCCTCCATATGTGAAAGAAGCAGATTTGGTCTGGAATCAGTTGTTACACTGTTATGATCTAAAAACCTATACAATGACAAGGAAGCACTATAACACTGTATTCCATGAAAACATGTAAAGTATTTCTGAAAAACTTATCATCTTCTTACACTTACATAATATGTGGATTAATTATTTCCCATACCTCAGAGAAAAATGCAGTCTATCATACATTTTAAAATATCACATGCAAATTTTAACATAGGTCTTAAATCATTTCAATTATTTGATTTCAATGATTTTTAAATCATTAAATCATCACAGCTCATATCTCATTTTAATTACACGGAAGTATCAGTGAAGTGATTGTTTCTTAGAGATAAGGTGACCTTATCCATATATATATACAGTTGCTAAGGTACTGTTCTGTTTAAGTCCTGCCTTTTAGAATAAACTAGTTTCTTGATGTTCCATTGGCTTCTTTAGAAACCTAATTTAAGATTAAATGCTCGCTTTTTCTAGTCTCAATTAAAACACCATGAATTTACATCTTGTATCTTGCTACCAGTTGACAATTTCTCTAAAAATTTCAGCAAGCCAAGCTACTTTGTCACTCAAATGCTAATCAAAAAGCAAATTGTCAGACAGTTGCCAATATATTTTCATTTATTCCTTCATTCTGTAAATTTAATGATGGTCAAGCTATCACATTCATTTAACCTGAACTGAGTGGAAAAATAAATGGACTTTTTGCACTTCCTGTTCTTTTTTCAAAAGACAGATTATTTTGCATACTATAGTTAATTTCAAAAAGAAATATTGTCAAGTCATCTTTAAGAAAAAGAATTGGAAGTGGAACAAACCTGCCTCATTGTGACTGCTTAACCTGAGAAGACTGAAAAATTGTTAATATAGAGGAATATAGTCAACTTGTTGTAAAATAGAATGCATTTATTTCGCAGAGATTAATTTAAAACCCCACAGAACCCATACACTGACCAGATTAAAAAGAAAAAAAAATCCCCACTGCATTATGTAATTCATAACACCAGTGAACTAAAATCGTAATAAAAAGCAGTAAATAAACTGTCTTTTTACAATAAGAGATAGTCAGAATATTAGAGGAAAACAGTCTTCTGCCCTAAATCATATACTACTCTGAACAGCCTAAATAATTTCACAGTCTATGTAAAGACTGCATGTTATCTCACTATGGTGAAGAAACACCACAGTTTATATACAGGTCAAGAACTATCTTCTACAGCTCAGTATCCAGCAGATGAGGCACTGAATGGGTGTCAGAAAGACAAGGACAACATTATGCTGTAAGCAGCAACAAGCAGTCAGTTTGTCTTTAAAAAGTGTCCAGAAAAGAAACCTTTAGTAGATCCTTTTGATAATATTTCCTTTCTCTGAAGAGGACCAAGCATTTTATACTTGACAGTATACCACAACATGATTACAACTTTTCTTCTCAACAATGTATGCTTGTAAAAGCTTAGTATCTTCTAGCACTATGGGTTTATCCATTCAGGATGAGATTAGAACTATTTGATTGCCTAGGATTTATGGTGCAGCTTTTGAAACTTCATCTGCTCATTGAAGAGATGATATCCATCTACTGGGCTGTAAAATTCAACACCTTTCACTGTCACTAAATTTACATATGTGAAAAATACCAACTCTACCATATTTTGATGCCAGGATATGTGGATACCATTCAAGATGTGTTTAAAGGTAGGCAGCTGCCTTTCAGCAGTGTCTCTTACTCAACATTACAAAGCACAGCCACACAACAGCTGAAAAGTGAAACTGAAAAACTAAAAATATGTGATAGAAAACATATAATGGCATTAAGGGAGCTGGCACATGCATACTGAAGTTAAAGTCTGTCATGATGACTAGGTTTATGCCCATGTTTGTGCGCAAAAGTCAGCCTAATCCTTCAGAGGGACAAGTTATTTTATACCCTCATGTTATATCTTGCGTATCAACTGATTTTTCTAATTTGAACAGATTTAGGAGTCTAAACACATCCTAACGTTACTGTGTTTGAATGTGGACATCTTTGAAAATGCAAGTCTTACTAACAAATTACCAAAGGACATTACTGTAACAAAAGTACTTCAGCTTCCCAAATAATTTGTATGAAAGCTATAATCCTATAGTCCTATTCATAGTCCTTTAATATGCTGCGCTTTCCACAACTTTTATATTTTTATCACAACACTTTGCAAAGATACACACAGCTGTTGAAGAACATATCTCAGAAGGATTAAGAAATGAATTATTTTTATTAAGAAGCTAATTTCATTGTTTTACTACTCCATTTTTTTAATAGTAAATCACTCAACCTGGTACAAAAACTGAATAGATTAATAAACAAGAATATAGAACAAAGTAAAGACTTGTCCTTTTACAGAAACACAGATTACTACTCCAAGTGTAACAGGCTGAAGGCCTAAACAAAAGCAGATAACCTCTGGAGGTAGTGTAATTTTAAAGTATTATGTCATTTGGCTACTGTTTAAATGTATATATACTACTTCAGAATACAATACAAACAGAGTGTATGTTGATTCTGCCTAGACACAGGCTGACAAATATGAATGACCATCAAGAGAAAGATTGCAGAAAATAGCTCAAGTGCCCTGTCTACCCTGTCTACTAAAGGAACAACTCGAAAGGCCAGAAGCCTTTTTAAATAGCATGAAAGGACAAGAACCATAGCATTATCTATTTCCAGAGAGGTTGCATTCAGTCAGTGGGTTAAGCGACATATACATACACCATTAAAGCTGGTGCCCACGTTGCTTCACTGTATCATTACCAAGCAATGGAACGGAGATCTCCAACAAGCCAAGCCAATTCCCAAGGCTGAATGGCAAGTGTACCATGGTACCCCAGCTTCCACACTGCTCTCATGTGACTGTCATTGACACATCAGCTAGAATTTAGGCACAGAAATGAGGTGGGAAGGCATCAGTTTGTTGGCAGCCCGCTCAGCCTCTAACCAAGTGGTACAGTTTAGCAGGTGTGCTTGCCCACTGTGTACCACTAGAATGTTATGTTTACAGTTAACAAAAATCCCTAATTAAGAAATTATAGCATGCAGGTTCAGAGTTGTGGGATAACTCTAAGGGCTCAAAAGGAAGTGCAGCCTATGAAAGAAAGAAATAAAGACAGATGAGATTTATTTTTTTCCAACAAAATAGGAAAAGGAAACTTTTTAGATACAGAATTGTTCAAACCTTAGTGTCTACCTCATCCAATTCCCATATATAATCAACCAGAGAAGAACTCTGAATTCATCTTAGGATCCTATTTCTGTGTGTGCAGAATTAAAAATAGATAAAAATCTGCCTATTTAAGGTCTAAATTACATTTTGTCTCAAAATATACATTAAGGTTCAGAAAAGATAAACCAAGAACAAAAAAAGCACAAGGAAATGAATGGAACATAAGAATAAAATGATCACAGAGTTCTGAATTTAAAATTCAGTATCTTGGACAATGTACTAAAAAATAATACAACTATTATATTTGTTCTTGCCCACTTCAGAGATCAAGGAATATATATCTAATTGCATCTGTTCTAACATTCTCATTTGTGCTGTGTGTGATTTAAAACACATAGATAAATGTGGAACTAAGAAAACTAATTTCTGATTTTTGTTACCTGCATCTAATGTTGCTATTCAAATACATGTGATGCTTCTAAATGTAATGACTCATTAAAGAGGAAGTGAGAATTCAATAACCTGCATAAGATTAGGTTTGCTAATATTGTTGATACTAAATGCGTAACAGTAAAAATATTACTAAATGAAACAGATCATAATCTTGCACTAATTAAGGTATTATGAACTGGGCTTATTCCCTTCTGTTATAAAGGCAGTCAAATACTTTTCAAATTTATCTGCTACAGAAAACACATTCAATGCTTATTTAATTAACAGTGATAAAATTTTCTTCCAATAATTTAAGGCAAAGTTGAAACAATATAACATTAGGATATAATTCATTTGGGATAGTTTAGGTCAACAATATTAAATAGATGCCATAAAGGAAAGGGATTAAGGAGCTCAACAATAAAAGAAGCCTCATTATACCAAGCCCTTAATGTTAACCTACAACTTGAAAGTACATTGCAAGAGAATAGAAAAGAGAAAGAAAAAGTAACTTCTTGCAAACATGAAATACTAAATGCTAAGTGGTGCTTTGAATAACTGGGAGTTATGTTTCTTTGAAAGAACAGTACTCAAGCAGTTAATCCTTTCCAGGACTTGGTAACTCTTAAGAAGATACTTGAAATAAATCTCACCAATTCTGAAAAACACTTCATCAAAACTAATGCTTTATACTTAATCCTATTTTTAATATTGTTATATTTACTATACAGTGCAGAGATGGGTATCTAGCAAGTGACCACTCCATATAAAAAATAAGTATGTAGATTCAGTTTACGTTACAAGGGTTTAGTAGCAGGGGGCCTGCAGGGATGGCCTTTCTGAGCAGAGCCCAGCAGCTGCCCCCGGGTCAGATCAGAGCCAGCTCCAGCCAGCTCCAAAAGGGACCAGCTGCTGGTCAGAGCTGAGCCAGGAACAACACTGTTTGGGCCTCTGGGAGAACAGATTGAAGAAAAGGAAAAACAAACAAACAAACAAACAAAACCTGTTGTGCAACAGCAGCTGGGAGAGCAAGGAATGAGAAAATGTCAGAGAAACAGCCCTGCAGACACCAAGGTCAGCTCAGAAGGAGGTGCACCAGGCATGGAGCAGCAAGTTCACCTGTGGCCTGTGGAGAGGTCCCTGGTGGAGCGGGCTGTCCCCCTGCAGCCCATGGGTACCACATGGAGCAGATCTCCATGCTGCAGCCCGTGGAGGAGCCCCCAGTGGAGCAGGTGGATGTGCTCTGGAGGAGGCTCCAGCCTATGGAGAGGCCCCGCAGGAGCAGGCCCCAGGCTGGATCCCATGGAGAGGAGCCCATGCAGGAGCAGGGGGTCTGGGGGGAGCTGCCGCCTGCTGGAGCAATTTGCTCCTGACGGATGGGCCCCATGGAATGGACGCATGTGGCAGCAGTTGTTGAAGAGCTGCTGTCTGTGGGAAGCACACACAGGATCAGTTCAGGAAGGACAGTATCCTATGGGAGGGACCCCACGTGGAGCAGGGGAAGAGAGTGACTGTGAAGTAGCAGCAGAGACAAAGCGTTAGGGACTGCCCGCAGTCCCCCTTCCTCATTCCCCATTCCCCGGTGCCATTTCAGGGGAGGAGATAGAAGAGGGTTGATAGGGAGGAAGATGTTTTTAGTTTGCTTTTACTTTCTCTTTGTGCTAGTCTGCTCACGATAGACAATTATATTAATCTCCATATGCTGTGTTTGTTCTGCCCGTGATAATTGATGAGTGATCTTCCTGTCCTATCTCAACCCTTGAGACCTTTCCATCATATTTTTTCCCCCTTTTCCTTTGAGGAAGGGGAGTGAGTGGCTATGGTGGAGTTCATCTGCCCAGCAGAGTAAAACCACTACGGTATGATCAATACAAGCTGTCTTTCTTGCAAGTGTTTATACGTCATGCTGAAAGTAGTTTATTTTATTACCTTAGCTATGATATGGGTTTCCTGTATCACTAGGTTGAGTCTACCTGAAAGCACCACCCAAACAAAGGAGACCTGTGCAGCTCTGTCAAGATTAATTCAGTACAAACCAGAACACTCTAAGAAGCAATAGATGAACTTTGTAATAAAAATGTGGATAACCTCACATTTTTATAACATATTTAGGCAGGAGACAAGAGGGTAATAGAAATCCCAATGACAACTGCTGCCAGTATTTATGGAGAAAGATTTGGAGATTTGCCTTGGGCTACATGATTAGAGCAACCATCGGCAGCTTATGCTGACAATCTCATCTAGAGTGTAAAAAATTTTTTTTAGAAAACAGCTCCTGCAGCAGCATCCAACCCTGTGCAGAAGGCTAAGCAAGTTCTGCATGAAGGGTCTAGACTGCTCCATCAGGCAGAGCCCAGACACATCAAAAACTCACAGCAAGTGTCCTGGGTTCATGGCGCCAGGCCAAGCTGGCCTGGAGGGGATGTAGCCCTGACTGGTGCCTGAGGTGTGTGTGTGTGTGTGTGGCAGTAAGAAAATACTAGAATATTAATTGCTATTTGCTCCCTATACCCATTGTGCTTAGTAAATGTAATTCAGAATTTATGTTACTGGACGGTATGGTTCTGTTCTTGCAGACACCTTACCTAGTTTCTTCAAGACACAAGCAAAATGATCACATATCACATTATTCACTAATACATACCATTCATTATCTAGATTATGCTAAAGCCCCAGCAGAGTAAAGCAGCAGGCTGCTATGCAAATATTACTTCTTTCCTCATAACATAAATTAAATAAAAATAAATGAAGAACAAGAAAGAGGTATGCAGGAAGGGACATAACATTACAGGAAAATTATCCTAGTGCCTTGTTATTGGTGATAAAGTAACAGTTAATTGTAGGAAGAGAAGATGGCAGATTTTTTGGAGAAACCAGCTACAGTGTCCTAAGCATATAGGAGGGGGTAAAGAAAAGGGCAAGGACCTTAATAGTAGGATTTGACAGTATACTTGCAAACCAAGCAAACAAGAAGGTGAAGGAAAAATGCATTAACAGATGCATTTTGATACACAGAAATGGACAAACTGATGGAAGAATTTGAAGAAAGAAAAAATATTGTATCTGCCTTTTAACTGCCTAGAAAAACAGTAGAATTCTGGTCCCACTAAAACCACTGATCCATTTCATCTGACTTCAATAAGGCTCACATTCAAACCTGCAATTTTGATGATACTTTGTGTGGCATTTTCTCCACCAGGAGAGACTTTGAGTGCTTTGCTGTGCATCACTTAATACGCATTTAAGTTTGCCCTATTTTTGAAGAGTGCATGGTGTTTACTGATGACTAACGATATGATCTTATGCAGTATTTTTGATGGCTGATTCCATACAGACATTAATTTATTTTTGTTCTGCTAGTCTCTTTTTCTTTAAAAGCAAACAAATTAGCATAGCTGTAAGTTGTATACATATATGAAAGATATTGTTTTCTTTAATAAAAAAGAGAACAAAATGTTCATGTAAGACAAACACCATCATCCTGCACTTCTGAAGCTGTTCACTACCTTACCGTTCATTCCAATAAGTGAGAAAGATTTGCCCAGAACCCCAGAAAACAGTTTATTTTAAATCATTGCAATTTGCAAAGTTTAACACATTCAAATAATTCAAGTCTTTAATTTGTTTAATTTACAAACTTATTTAGAATTTTTCTTAATTATTATTAACTATATATTATATTCTTAACCAAAATACTTGGGTAATGTGGTAACAGTGTAAGAAAGACATTTCAGAAAACACTGGAATTTAATTTTGCAATAGAAACATTATCATCATCTTCCATCCTGCAAAATTTTTTTTCTGTTTAAGAGTCAAGGATATAAGGACAGTTTTCACATGTTCTGATATCAAAAAGCTTTGGGATTCTCTGTAGTTCAGGAAGCTGCTGTTGAAACCTGTTTGAACTAGAAATAGTATCACATTCTACAAATGAACTTGAACAATAAAGACCTTTACCAAGCAGACTTCTGAAATGGTTTCTAACAGCTTTAGCTGTTGCAAACAACACATGCTACTTGGTATACTCACCGAAGACTGTCCTGGCAGGTACAGATTCTCTGTTCAGCCAGAATGACACTTGGGAGAGAATGACAGTCATGATACAGGGGAGATAAGTCTGAATGACAAAATAACCAATTTTTCTCTTCAAGTGAAAATGAGCCGTCATTACTGTATATTCACCTAAGGTGCCACAAACAAACAAATACAATGAAAAAAAGGGTTATCATCCTAAGAAAGTCCGTATCACTGATAAAAGAAAGTTTGTTATATTTATGTGAACTAAGTGCACTGGACTTAAATTGCACAAAATTTACTTTTTAGTACGATATATAAAAATGTTTTTAACTTTGGGTACAACTACATCTTACTCCCACTGATATCCAGGAAAGATATCAGTGCAGGGACTTAACGGGAACTGTTGTATGCCCTGAGGAGAATTTCAGTCCTGCAGGCTTCTGCACAAAAGCAACCCTCTGTATTCACAGAAAGAATCATAGAGCCATAGAATAGTTTATATTGGAAGGGACCTTAAAGATCATCTAGTTCCAATCTTTTTGCCATGGGCAGGGATGCCACCTCCTAGATTAAATTGTTCAGGGCCCAATCCAACCTGGCCATCTTCAGGGATGGGGCATCCACAGATTATCCAGGCAACCTGTTCCAGTGCCTCACCACCCTCTGAGGATGGTAGGCATGCTAAGAACACACAAAGTCTACAATCAGAAGACAGTCATGGTGGTCCATCACAGCCTGGCATGTGTAGGAACCTAGTTTAGAACCAGGCAGAATAATCCAGTGTTTAATATCAAAAGAATTATGAAAGGAAAAAAAAATGGTTGAAACCAGCATATTTTTACCATCTAGTAGACTAAAATTGTCATTTACCATTATCCAAAGCTTGCATTAAAAACATTAGGATTCAAGATTGAGCTCCATTTTGTATAAAAAAATCACTGGGGAGTTTGCTTCCAATATCATTTGCTACTTATTAACTTACAGAGAATCAGAAGAAGCGATGTGCTGTTATGAGCTCTATGTACCATACATTAATAAGATCTGGCTGATATCTCACATTTAGTGTTTTTTGAGTAGCCTTCTACCATCATCAGCAATGCCTATGTTCTATTTAGCCAAGTGAGTGCTCTTTTCCTCAAATATTTTTTTACTAACCTGTACTGGATTTAACTGTCTCTTTTCCAATTGTTTGGCCTAAAAGATCATACTGATTCAATCTTGAACCATCTGGCGCCACCTGTACTGAATCTGAAGCATTGTAAGTCCAAATATATGTCACTTCTGAAGTTGTGTATGCATCTGTGGGAAATAAGATATAATATTTTGTCAGTAATTTAAACCAAGCAGCTTCCATCAAAACTCATCACATTAGAAAAACTACTTAGTTACCTTTCAAAAATAAACTCCCAAACCAAAAAAAAAAAAAGCTAAAAAAATATTATATTATATTGTAAATATAGTAAATAATATAATATAATATGGTAAAATATATAATTTGTAGATATATATATATACACACATTTTACTGCTAACTGAAATTCATACCTAAATATGGCAAGATGGGTTCTCTGACAATGTCCTTAAAAGATTTTAGGAGCTCTGTGCATCGGTCTGTGTATCCTCTTTAATTTCACTCCCTATCATTACATCTATTTGTGATGTAATACTCAAGGAGGAGTATTTGGGACATACTCAAATATGTTTATGTAAGGAGGCTGCTTCTGTACTCTGTTATTGCATTCATGAGGAAACATATATTTAGCTTAGGGTATGTCAAAATAAACTAAAATGGAAGCAAATCAACACCAAATTTTAGAAAGCACTAATGCCTCTCCAGAAAGTAAAAAAGAAAAAAAAAAAGTATACGTCCTGCAAGTTTTTCCAGTCTAATACCCTACTAACTAAATGCAGAATGAAGGAAAAGGGTAAACCACTGATGGAAGAAATTGTGTGATCATTTTGATTAACTGAGACAAGTACATTTTAAATCTTATCCATATCTGTACTGAACTGAAAAAGAAAAACATCGTTTCTGCTGGGCTGCAAACATTTTCACTCGAGAAATCTCTGGAGGCCCTGAAAGAAGCTTCTTCATGCAACTAGCCATAAATTGTATGACTAAAAAAATATAGCAGGCTGGTAGCGTGCAGAAATTTTTAACACTTTGCTTCAAACTATTCAGATTTCCACAAGAAGACCTCTACTTTAATGAAAATCAGTACTTCTGCCAATTGCCAATTTACCCCTTATCCTCTCCACTGTTAGCTAGACTTTTTATGAGGATGAAGAAAGGCAATTTATTAAACTACAGCTTCTCCAGTGCATTCAGCTTGGCTCTTGAGTATGACAAAGAAACTGAGACAATCTTGCAGGCTGATGATTTTCCTAGCAAAGTAAGATTAGCAGAATATGGAGAGCTGTGCCACTGGCAGACTTGCCTCAGCTAAACCAAAATCCTCAGGATTCTGGCTTATTTTCAAAACTATCACTCAAATTCTACCCCAGAATAAAAGCTGAAAAATGTATAGTAGCCTAAATAAGTTCTAGATAAAGAAACAGAAATGAGTGAGAAGCTATTCAAAATGAACGGAAATAAGTCTTTTTTTTGTGTGCAAACAGTCTGTAGCACAGGTGACTTAATTGAGAAAAGAAAGACAGCTTTTCTAACATCACATTGCTTACAGTTTGAATTCTACTGTTTGATAGAAATGCAGAAACCATTGGCAGAAAACAAAGAACACATTACTAACCAAAAAAAAAAAAGGGGGGGGAGTAGGGGAGGGGAAAAAACAGTCACAAGAAGTCCAGTATACCTCATCAGAAGAGTTTCCAACATACATGTAGAAATGAAGATCAAGTCATGCCATGAAATCTCTGCTTGGCCTGAGTATCAGTTTCATGATTATGTCTGTGGGTTTGTTTTCTTTTTTCTATTTTTTTTTTTTTGAGGTTACATAAAAGTCTTTTTCTCCCCCATATCTTATAAATCAAGCGTATCTTGCTGTGCATACATATATATATATATATATATATATATATATATAAAACATTATTAGACAGTAGCTGGTTTGGACTAAGATCTCGTGTTATCTAGTTATGTTTCATTATGTAACATAATATAATATTTAGGGGAAAAAAGGTTTCATGAAAAAATATCACTAATTCTAACCATATTTTATCTCTACAGCTAAGAATTCCCTTTAGTGTGACAGAATAATCAGAAACACAGACTTGGTTTAATTTGCTCCTGTTTTTACCGCCAACCCCACCAGCCTCCAGGGAAAGAGGTTACATTTGGGTTATGGAAAGACTGTGCACAGTTATCTGACAGTGTTCATAGGGTGAATTATGTTACTGGCAGCCGATCACCTGTTTTGCAACCTGTGGTGGCTATAGTTAATAGAACAGACAGAATTTATTGGTATTAGAATTAAACAGACAGAATTTGTTGGTATTATCTAGTTTAAAAAAAAAATATATATGTTCAACATAGCAGAGAATGTAGGCTACAGCCAAAGGAAAACAAAACAAAACAAAACAAAACAAAAAACTCTTTGGTGCATGAAATCCAGGAAATACATATATAATGAAATTCTAATTCACAAAGAAGAAAAAGAGACTGCTATATAGGTGAATGAAGTTATACTGCTGTTAAAATAATACCAGTGAGATCAAAGTCCACTTATCTAATGATGATGTGCTAAGTACAATTTTTTATCACACAAAGCCATTTGTTGCCTTCACTGACTAAAAATGTAAAGATAAATATCATTAAAAATAATTAGAAAAAAAGGTTTCAATAAAATGAAAACAAACTTTCTTCAAAGCCTTTACTGTGCTCATCATTAATACAATATGTACATTATACACAGGCTGTGTGCACCCAGGTCTGTACTCATCAGTATGGTTTGCATTCTGGAATAAAAGCAGATCACCATAATGATAAAACAGATGCATAGTACTTATTGTTAAATGGTGCCCAGATAGCTTTAAAATACATGAAAAGGCAAAACATTGAATTGAGAAAATTGATTATCATATACGAGGTAACAATTCAAAAAAAAAAAAAATGTAACCTTTTGTTTTAAACCTCTCTTGTAACTACTTTTTGAAATAAAGTGATGCTTGAGCAATGTTAGAAACCAACGACTATATTTCTGGTTATATACTCACAGCTGCCAAATTTCAATGGGCATGAATGAGCATCCATAGGGAAGTCCTCCAAGTGCATTGGACATTCAGCTTGGACTGTAAGCCTAAAAGGCAAAAGAGCACTATGCATTTAAGTCAGCAGGACAAGAAAATCAATTCCACAGAAATGAACAGTTAATGCTGATTTAGGAGATGAAACTGAAATGTTATATTAAAGTAATTAAAATTTAAATCAGCTCTTGCTTCCTCCCTTTTATGTATTCCTTTGGAAGGCATTGACTTATCACATCAGGAGACTAAAACAGCTGACCTCAAAACTATGAGGAACGGCCATTTAAATGAAAATATAAATTATGTAACTGCAGGTTGTTAAGAACAGTCATTTTCTTCTCATAATATTCTGAGGTACATGTGTGATTATATGGCTTTCAAAAGCTCATTACAAAGGCACATAAAATGCAGTTAATTTGTCAAAGGACCGTGCTCTATAGAGTTCTGATATTTTGTAGAGTTTGAATGGAAGGTGTAGAAAAAAAAACTGTTGGTTTTTTTTTTTTTTCAAAACACTGTTGCCATTCATTGTCTCTGTTACTTTTGATTACTGTTTTTGTTTATTTATAAGCATGAAAATATGTTATCAATGCATTCACTTTTGTGCATTTGGTGAAAAATTCCCAGCAGTATCACAGTATAAAATATGTGGAATAATACATGTACATGTACAATGAAAACTAATTTTTAAAAGTTTGAATGAGTTTTGACATACTTCTCTTTCCCACTATTTGTAACACAATTAATTAATTAATTAAAGTTCTTTTTCTCCTTTCTATTCTGTAAGTCCCCTTTGGGTGAAGACTTTCTCTAGACTTTTTCATTCCTCTTCATCCATCCTCACATATCAGCTCATTTTCCTGTACTTCCAGTGGTTCACAGTCATTGTGAACCCCACTATATTTTGCCATCCACAAAAATATTCTATGTTTCTATGTTAACAGAAAGAGCTTCTGAAATCAAGGGGGGAAAGACAGAAAAAAAAGTCAGTTAACAGCTGAAGGCACAGGAAAGAAGTCACAATATCGTGTTAAACAGAGAGATAAAAATGGTTGCTTAAAATCCATGCAACGAAGGTTGTTTACACATGAATCTCACAGCCTCAGAAACAACATACTTACAAGTCATGAACTAATTAGTTAATCCTAATAGACTTGACCCACTTTACTAAAAAAACAAAACAAAACAAGCAAACAAAAAAAAAACTAAAACCAAAACCAAACCAAACCAAAACCATAATAGTTTCATAGAATCATAGATCATAGAATTACAGAATGGCTTGTGTTGGAAAGGATCATAAAGATCATCTTAACTCCACCCCTGCCTGCCACCCACTAGACTAAGCCCCATCCAACCTGGCCTTGAACACCTGCAGGGATGCAGCAACCACAACTTCTCTGGGCAACCTGTTCCTATGTGTTCCTTAAGTGAAGAATGTCCTCCTAACATCTAATCTATATCTTCCCTCTTTTAGTTTAAAACCATTTTCCCTTGTCCTATCATTATCTGTCCAAGTAAAAAGTCTCTCTCCATCATTTTTATAAGCCCCCATTAAGTATTGAAAGGCTGCAAAGAGGTCTCCCTGAAGCCTTCTCTTCTTCTTCTTCTTCATGCTGAAAAACAGTTTCAAATGGTATTTTTTATTGTTTATAGTATATAATTAGAAAACATTTTGGAGGGAGAGAATTTCATTTAGTTTATAGGGAAACAATCAGAAATATTGACTTGAGCCCAATACTATAAGTAGGGTTCTCTATTTCCAGCACACTTTTCTGAACCTCTCCAGCTACCACATAATTCAATATGATTAGCAGCCTACCTATGTACACACTCAGTACTACAAGGGCTTGGGAGCTGTACAGTAAATCAGGCTTAAGTGATGTCAGTATGGCTGCATGGAAAAGATTGCACAGTACACATTTTTTTTACAGCTCACATTTTATATCTTACTTAGGCCAGGGATTTTAAGTCTCATTTCACAACCAATTCAATTTGTTAAATAAAAGGACAAGAAATAAATGAAGTCAGGAGTTTCTGGAAATTTGGATATTTCAAAAAATCCCATATAGATAGCATTATTAGAAAAAGAGCAATCAAAGAAGAAATCAGTTTTCTGATTCAGAATCAATTTTTATAAAAATGCTGCTTATGCCTACGCATACATGATGTTTACAGTTTTTAAATAAATGATTTTCCAACCAAATTTAATATATTTTACCAGCTAAATGTTCATCTTAGCTTCTAGTCATGTCAGGAAGCAAAAATGAAAACTGTAAGTAAAATACTGTAATTACATAAAAATACATAGTTATTAGCGAGTAGGGTATATTTTCCATACAGTTCTTGATAAAAAGAATTTGAGGCTGTATTAACCCCTTTCACTTCTTCTCAACATTCTTGTTGACACTGATCTCAGTAATAAAGTTGTCTAATGGCTCACATGGCCATTACATACAATGTGTGTAGTAACAGGCAGAAATCTTATGCTTGTTTAATCCTTCTAAGATGGAGCTTGTAAACTCTTGCATAGTAATTCCCATCTGAGAGCCTCGAAGCACGTAATGCAGGTTGTCGGTATCTTTCAATATGCTATACAGGTATAAAAATTGAGGAACGCGTAGGAAAAACGATCTACTCAAAGTCAACCAACAGATTTGTAACAGAACTGGAAATGAAACATACATCTTCCTAGTGTTTTTCTGCTGGGTTACAAATGGAACAAAGGGGAGTCTTCCTGGAATCTTATTTAATTGTTACCTGGAAAAGTCATATCAAGAAATAGTATGAGTAAAGAACAGAAGAAAAGACATACCTCATGGTGTACAAGAGAGTTCCATCATCTTGGATTCGCAGAAGCTTGTTTGGCATTGTCATATTATGAGCCACTGACTTCTTCCCATTGTGAAAAAATGTATCTGGGGTCCAGATTTTGCTGGCCATTAAGTTGTTCAATCTAAGAATGTTCATTGGGCCCTTAAACTTTAATCTCTCATCCTTCCATCTCTGACGGAAGAAAACATCTATTGTGTACTCCTGTAATGGAATAAAGATATGCTTTTTGACACAATGAAAAATGTATCTGCTTTTTGAGGACCAAAACAGAAAAGCTGTGGTTGCAATATTCCTTTGGCAAGATTGTTTCAACTATCATGTGAAATTGTATAATACTGAGAATAATAAACAGGAACTCAAAGTACTATTGGTATGACATTCTCCTTCACAACTGCTAAATGTTGTTTGTATGTCAAACCCTTCCAGTATTTAGATTTCTGTACCTCATACATATAGTATCTGTGACAAAGGTAATTTCAATAAACTTAGTTTTTTACATTAAGAAGTAAGAAAAAAAAAAACAAAAACAAACAGAAAGATATAGTATTACTCGTGTAACAGATGCACCTGTAGGAGAATAATCCAGCATTTAAATAGCATGGAGAATGGCTGAGAGGAAGAAAACAAGCCTATCCATAAATTGTAAAATATATGCAGGCTGATGGTTTTAAGGAAGATTTTTGGAAAAGGCAAAGTAAGGACCTATAGAAGTATAGATTTTATTAGCAAAAATACTTAGATAAGGAGCAAAGCTGACAAATAACAGGTGACACACACTGTATGCTGAACTGTCTGGTTTGATGCCTAATATTGGGAAGGAAGTAGAAAAGGATGCAAGCAAAACAAACTGATGACCTAGACCAGATGCCTGTGGCACACAGTGCTAGTTATTCCATCTGCTATTTTTTATTGCTTTTCTAAAAAAAAAAAAAAAAAAAGCTGATTAAACATTGATAATGTAAGTTCATTAACTAACTTTAAATTGAAACTGTAAATGGATTAGTGATTTGTTATTGTCAGCACAACACATAAATTGGAAATCAAAGACCATAAAAACTTTGTTGGAAATAAACTGCATTCTGTGCAGCAGCAAATGTTACCTTGGAGCAACTTCAGTTTTGTCAGACAGGTGCAAAATGGGCCTATGATTTCAAAACATGACTATATTACAACAGCTTGTACTATTACAATTACTCTGCAAATGATACAACTTCAGCAAACCATATTTGAGTATACTATCTTTGAATGGAAAAGTCCTAATAAAATTCTACCAATATAAAATATTCAAGTTATTTCCAGACAGAAGTGATTGGAAAGAACTTAACAGTCCTCATCACTTCTTGCTGTCTCCCTTGTGTGCTGAGCAGACAGCAAGAAGTGATAGCCCTTCTTAGCTCCTTTTCCTAATGGTCTGATTTTTTGGGGTGGTCGTTTTGGGACCCAGGAGTTGGACTCGATGATCCTTGTGGCTCCCATCCAACTTGATATATTCTATGATTCTATGACTCTATTATTTTCTGCATGCCCAGGAGCTGAGTGGGTCTTTTCCAAGATAGAGACAGAAGCTAAGATCTTTATGTGGAATAAAGGAAAGAAAATTCTGTTATCTGAAAGATCATGACAGGCGTAGGGGAGAAAGCAGTTGTAATTAAGAGCTGTGACAGGTGCTTGGGAAAATCCTTTAGGAATGATATAATGAGGTACTTGTAAACTAACCTGACAAAACACACAAGCCCAGTTTTTAGTTATATCAAGAGACTTTACATTTCATAACACAATTTTGCAATTTTTTAAATTCAAATTATAGTTACTCAAACAAATATTAAACAAAACTAATACTGCCATACATTGAAAATTAATTTGTTTGGATTTCTTTAACATCAGTTGTTACTACCTATAATAATATTTTAGTAAACATATCTGTAAATAGACACTGTTTCATGACAAATAATATGCCCATTTCTCTGTAACAGATTACATTGAATAGTTCTGCTTTATTTTATAATTTATATGTTGTTTGCTAACTATCCTCTAACTTAAAATCCCATTTTCAAATTCCAAGTTATCTAACAGTTCACTTATGGACCAGGGAAAGTCACAAAACCATAAAATAATGGATGACCAAGAGCAGCAAAAACTACATGCTTGAAGCAACAGGGGGAATATATGACATTTGTCTGGAAATAGCAGGTAGTTCAAGGAAAACAACTGCCCTGGAAGCTTTCTTTTAATATCTGTCTGAGGGACTTTGCCAATAAATCATGCTATGCATGAGAAGATTGATGTTTGAGGTATACAGAAGTGGAAAGAAGACCCTGAGGGAGTAAGTCTTTGAAATCCCTCTAAAATTCAAGAGAAATGAGTGATAAGTTCTACAAGTTCCTTTGAAAAATATCTCTTGCACACAAATGATTAGAATATAAAGTTTTTGTAATGTGTCCATCAAAAAAGAATTTCAAAGGTCCCACTTCTTCACCGTCGTCCGTCACATATAAAAAGAATTACCGGAGATATGAAAGATAAAAAAAAAAAAAAGCAGACATGAAATGCCACTAAATCAAAACAGCAACACTTTAAAAAAAGCACATCTGATGTCTGGACACAGCTTAGGACGCAAAACAAATAGAAGAAAACCTGATCCGTGGACTTGAAAGTTTACACTGATATATCCCAATTTATCTACAAGTAATTCTGTTCTCTCTATTGGCATATTTCCAACCAAATCATGCCAGAAAACTTTGTTTGACAGAACATCTGATTTAGAAAATGGAAAGAGGGATTTACCCGAGGTCTGGTGTGAATAATCATGAATATCACCTCCTTCCATTCACCACAAAGTAATAAAATCCCACATAGCTCTTAACTTTTCTTCTTCTAGACATCAATGCATTTGGGAAGGAAGTATTGGGATCTCAGTTTTACACAAAGGGAAACTAAAGCATTGAGATGACCTTAAGTTGTTTCAGTCCATTTACAGAATGATTACAAAAAGCAAAGTACAATCCATGCCTCTTGAATCCCAGTGCTGTATTCACTCATCCATGTTCCCTCCTGAACCAAATCTGTTCCACTTATGATCACAAATACCACTATGATGATTACCATGTAACGAAAACAGGAAGCTAATAAAATATTTTGAATCTAGTCAGTATGATACAAAGTCAACATTTACCAAGAGATTCTACATAAATGTTATGTAACGATTTCCTATTCCGTCTACATATATATTTTGTGGTAAATGCTGTGTGGTGCTTATTTTCCAATCAAAACTAACATTCTTTTAGAAATGCAAATCTGCATTATAGAAAAAAAATACTCAAATTAATACCTGATATTCATTTAATACAATCTGAAGATATTCTCCTATATGACAAAAAGACCACTATGTCTCTGGACAGTACCAAACTCTTGTCCAGTGCTCAGTACACTATCTCCACAAAATCACAGCAGCATACTTCCAGAAGTACAAAGGGGTTCTGTGATCTGTTCTAGACAAACAAATGCTTCCTATTGATTTATGTCTGAAATGGTGCTTTTATACATGTAGCTGGACTCTAACACAGTACAATTAAACATAACAATTCAAATATGTATTATGTCAGCTTACACATAATTTTAAGGAGAGGATAAAATTCTGTAATAGTACTGTAATAGTACTAAGAAGCACTGAGGCTCTGCTAGTTCACTGATCAAAAGAATAAAATGGTGAAGGAGCTGCACTCCTCTTCTTGTAATGCATAGTAGTTTTGCGCAACAGTATGCACAGTAAATATATAAATATTAGTATCTCTGAGAGAAGCTTTAACTGAGTATAAGTTAAACTCTTCACCTTGTATGACAGTCATCTTTTTTTTTTTTTTTCTTTCCTAAGGCTAAATTTGTATGGGAAAAGCTCAAACAAAAACAAAATCTATTCCCACCCTCTCAGATAACGGTTTTGGGATTTTGGCAGTGTTTGCATCTGGAGTAAAGATGGAAGTGTTCCAAACATCTTGAGATTGCAAGTGTCCATTAGCAAGCTGCATTGTTGTGAAGCAGACTGAACATTTTATTAAATCACCTCCACCACACTCACCTAACAGTATTGAGACTGAAAGATTTCTGGATGCAATTCACTCTCACAAAATCCCTCAACACTCTAGGCACAAACACTCGGGCTCTATAGAAGTACTATTAATACATTAGCTGTGTACGAGTAAAACTCGCTGCGTGGATGTATAAATGGATTCCATTTGACCTTTTCCAAAATTTATCTTCTGATGCATATAAACCACAGAACATAGAAGAAAACAGCAGACAAACAGACACTCATTTCAGGTTTTTGAGAGAGGCGGGTCTTATACACTGGTGAATAGAAATCTTGAAAGTATTACAAATAAAAACCCTCATGGAGCAGGGCTGAGATTTGAACTGCAACGTTGGTTATTTTTTAACAAAATACTTAACAGCCCTATTAAAATCTTAAATATTCTCTTAATAATCACTACATTTCAAACAACTTTCATTCATTTTTAAATATATCAACATCTGCTAGATATTTTCAACTTTTAGTACTATAAAAAAAACGTGGTATATTTCTAGGGAACTGTAGCATGATTTTCCTCTTAGAAGAACTTATTTCAAGACTTTTATTTCTGCTTCTTCTGTCAACTTCAGTCATTTTTGTCTAAGCATTTAATCTAAATTAAGTATTTGAAAAAATTCTGGAAAAAATGTGTTTAACCAGTTTGAATGATAGCATCTAAGGGAAGAAAATGTCTTCTTATTCATATCCATTTATGAAAAGGTGATTCTCTGAATGGCTCTCTCTCTTTCCATAGATCTGATGGAGAATGAACTCTGAGTCTAAAATAAGCACTGAGGAGAGATAAGAGAGGAACGGGAAAGATACAAATTGAGGTTACTTAGAGATTAAACAATATTATTCACAGTACTGTCACTGAAAATACAAACATTTCTCATTACCCTTTTTTGTTCAGAGATGGAGAAAGAGCAACCCTGAAACACAATGGATACCTGGTGCCAGGGACAGGAATCCAAATAGAAAGTACATTGGGAGCTAATATCAGTGCTTGGGCACAGTCTCTGACAAATGAAACTCTGATATTTATCCACTTGACAGGATACTGCACAGGAAAACAATGCTTTCCAAGAGGATAAAAGGACAGAATTTGTGCAGACCATCATATGCGGTATCCTCC